TTAATTCCCATTGCCATTGATTATTTTGTTGGAAGTATTTAATTAATTGGTGCTCATAGGAGTTAGATTTCGTTAATTCATCCTACAACAAAAAAAGATCTCTTTCGAGTCAAGGCCTCACACTGAGCAGAAACGTGCTTGGAATAGAAAAGGGGATGAAGAAAGAGAAAATCCAGTTAAAAGTGAGGCAGCAGAGCTTGGAGATCATAGAATGGAGCTCCACACACCAGAAGAAGAAGTTCTAGAGCCACCAAGAGCTATGCTGGATCCTACTTGTTTCTAAAGTTGCAGGAGAATGGATTTCACATATAACTGTGCAACAGGAAGAAGCAAGGTTAAATCCCATACAAAGTTGTGAAGAGGTTACAGAGAATGGAAAACAGAATGACATCCTGAGACACAAGAAAACTGTCCGTCGGGTGGGAACTAGAGTAACCATTTCAAAAGGTACAACATGATTAAGAAATTATACAAATAAAAATAAATAACAGATATTGTCTTAAAAGAAATAGGAAGTGAAAAAGAAGAAACTTCTAAAACATGAAAATAAAGTGAGATGACAGATTCCAGAGAAGTTGACAGATGGAGAAGGTGAGTAAAGAAGATCCAATATATATATACTAGAAATCCTATAAGAAACACATTGAAGCAAGGAAATAGAGCAAATGCTGAAAATTAAATTCAATACAGCTTCCTTAAATCATGAACATTGATCAAATAATGACCAGCATCAAGATATAGTCTAACAAAACTACCAGTTTCTAAAGAAAAAAAAAATCCTTTGGGCATCTGGGTAAAAAGATTATCAATTCAATTTGTAAAGGGAAAAAAAGAGAACAGATTGTCATCAGGCTTGTCCATAACTCCTTACACCAGAAGCACATGGAATGAGACAGTAAAGGTGCTCAAGGGGGGAAAAACTGTGAGCCCATAACTTTATATCCAGCCAAACTTATTTTCAAGAATAAAGGCCCCAAGGGAACTGTCACCCATATGTAAGACCTCAGTGAGTGTTTTCCCCATGCACTCCTTCTGAGGAATTTACTGGAGAATGCACTTCTGACAACCAAAATTAGTGGAGAGACATCAACACAAGGACTGGTGGTGAACATGAAGGGTGTGTGTGTGTGTGTGTGTGTGTTTAGACCCAAGATAACATGAAAATTAAGAAAAAAAAAAGCATAATATAGAATGGCCATATGTTTCAACAATATAGATGCATTCTACTTATTAGAAAAATTTGACAGAAGAAATGGTATAGCCTGTGAAAATACGTGAGGTTTTTAGCAATCATATTCGTAATGATATTGGTAGTGTTATTCTAATATCTTTGTATATGTGTGAGATCAAGCAGATGAGCTAGTGTGGAATATTTTTTTCTTCCATCATCCTCTGTGTTCTTAAGAAACAATGTAGAAGAAGGGAGATGCAGATGTAAAATAGCAAATGTTAAGTAAAAGCCTTGTAGTTCTGAAATACCTACCTTCTTAGCAAATTTCAAGTGTATTATATTATTCACTCTATTACCATTTTGTACATTAGTTCTCCAGAACTTACTCATCTTGAAAACTAAAACTTTGTACCCATTTTGGATAGGCCAAGTCATGAAGTTTGAACAGTCCAGTGGTACAGCACCAAGCTGAGCACCTCAGAGGGGGTTGATACATATTTATTGAGTTCACTCACAGTTGCATGAAGGGATGCACATAGGTGTTGGAAGGGACTAAAGAGTGTCTTGGTCTCTTATGTAAGTCTGACCAAATTCCCACCTGGCTTAAATCCAATTTCCTGCCTACTCTGTATTTTGCAGCCATGTGTTGGAGAAAAACATAAAATTCTATGATTAGTTTTTCTTTCAGTTCATAATCTCTGCCCACAAATGGGTTGCAATAATGCTAGCTCCCTCCTTCCATTCCCGCTCCCCTGATCATTGACGCGTTTCTTCTCTTCTCAATTTTCCAACACCTCCTTTTTCTCTCTGAACCTAGGCCCAGCTACTCTGCCTTCCTTCCTTTGCTAAGGATGGCAGCTTTCCCTCTTCACGCCAACCATTCTACTCAGCCTTGGGATCCCACTCCTCCACCTACCCAAAGACAGAGCTTGTTTCCTAGATGACATCATCCATTCTCTCCTCTCTTCCCATCATTCCCTTCAACATACAAGCTTATCATTTTTCCAGTTTCAAAAAATCCTTTTAGTTCCACAGCCCCCTTTCAGCTGCTAGCCCCTCTTCTGTTCTCCTTTTCAGCCAGACTCCTACAGCAAGAAGGACCCATTCTCAGCTCTTAAAATTCCTTTCCTCCAATTCTGTCTTTACTCCATTTGACTCGGCTAAGGTTTTTGGCTCCAGGACTCCCCTGAAATGGCTCTTGTCAAGATCACAGTGACATCTGCATTTCCAACCCCAACCAATTTTCAGTAATTGTCTTCTGTGCACCTCTTGAGACATATCATGACACCCTCCTTGAAGAATTTTGTTCCCTTGGCTTCCAGGACACCTATATCCTTTTCATTTTCCACCTGCCTCATAAGCTGCTTCTTCTCAGTCCCCTTTTCTGTCCTTCTCTTCTCCTCTACAAAGGTTAGATAGTCTCAGCCAGCCTCATGACTACTGAGATAACACAGAGTTGGATTGTCAAATCAGACTCACAGGAATCATAGATGTAGCCTTGTGTCAAGCTTTACTAATAACTTCAAGGATGCGGGTAATAATGAGGCGCACACAAAGCACAGAGAAGGGCGGGTTGTTTAGCATGGTCCTGGGTCGTTTCTCAGAATCTTACAGTGTGTACTCTAGGCCAGACTTAATAAATGAGGTCTCAGAAGTTCATCGAATGATCATTAACATGAAATCTCTCAATTATATAAACTGTCTCATCATTCATCACTCGAGGAATCGTTCACCACAGAAGCATTTCCTGCTTAATGTATCCCATAGTTAAAAAGTCTTTTCTGGTAAATGCCATTGTATGGATGCACCATTAGCATGTTTGCAAAAGGATTTGACCAAGTCATTTTTCTTTCTTTCCTGGGACCAGAATAATGAGAAAATGCATGGGAGGTCTGATGCTAACCCTTTTCCTCCCAGCCTTTCATGCACGTATGATTTCAAAATTTGTATCTCCAACCCATTCTTTCTCCTAAACTCCAAACTCAGATTCAGTTAGCTGCGCAGCATCTTACCATGTAGAAGTTTGTCAAACTACAGGTGAGCACAGTAGAAATCACGACTCCTTTTCCCAACTCCCAACCTACACATACACATGCTCATGCACACTCACACATATGCAGACACACCCATTTTTCTTATGTCTTCCCATCTCTCTGTAGTTCATTCTCTGTCTCTTACTTTCTGTGTGTATGTGTGTGTGTGTGTCTGTCTGTCTATCTGTCCTTCTGTCTTCTCAGACGAAAACATTACGTTCATGCTTTTTTTTTCTCATGCCATGTATCCAATTTGCCTAAAAACATTTGCCATTTCTGCCTTCAAAATATATCCAGCTGACCCCCCCACCTCCACCACTCGCTTGCTGGTTCAGGCCATCGCCATCTCTCATGTGGATTGCTGAAAACCTCCTGCTGCTCCTCTGCTTCCTCCTTCCATCTTTGCCCGTGAGAGTCAATTCTGAATATTTCAGCCAGATGGCTGTCTTTAAAAGATTAGTCAAATGATGTCACCCCACAGCTCCAAAGTCTCCCGTGGTTCCCATATCTCTCAGAATAGCAGCCAGACTTCTGCTAGTGGCCTTCAGGGACCTACACACCCCAGACCCCCAAGAACTCTCTGACACATCTTCTGCCGTTACCCTGTCTGCTGTCACTCAGCCACACTGGCCTCTGCTGTATCTCAGAGCACCAAGTGCATTCTGACTTCTACTTCTTGGTGCTGCTCTGTCCTTGACCTGAAAGCCCATTCCCACAGGTAGCCACATGGTTTGCTTTTCTAATCTCCCTTAGATGTTTGCTTCTATGTACTCTCTTCTTAAGGCATCCCCATACCCTAATCACCTCTTCAAAATTATAGTCCCCATTGTCTCCAAACTCTGCTTCTTCTCTGGTTTTTATTCTCTTTCCACTGAAATATAACCTTTCAGCATTTATTGTTAGAGGCATGGGGATGAGAGCAGAGGTGTCTGTTTTGTTCACCGCTGTATCCCCAGCAGTGAACCCACAGTAGGGTCTGACACATACATAGTATATGGTCACCAAATGTTGCATAAAATAATTCACAGTTTAGCAAATTCACTTGACTTGATCTGAGTTTAGAAGCAAATATGATCAGATAACACGAGGAGAACAATAACAGGGCTGCAACCGGAAGACCCTGGACACTGCCCTGTCTAGTTCTATTTTGCAGGCTGGGGAAACCAGGGAGGGCATTAAGCCGCGCAACAGTGTGATGAACTCAGGGATAAAAGAAACATGCTGTGAGTAAGAGAATAATAATGAAAGGGAAAGAATCCCTTCTTCTTCAAGCTGAATGTGCTCAGTATTGCTCAGATATGCTTAGATATCATTTGGGCTGCCCACAGTTAGCGCAGGATGGAATATCAGACCTATTTTCAAAATGGTTTTAAAAGCCCATAGACTCCTGAAGAGAGGCATGAAAATTACTACTTGATGAGCTTGATAATGATGCATTGTGTGTCCATAACTTAAAATATAGCTGTATTTCCTAAAATTTGTGTGAATTAAGACTATTAAATGCAATTGATGGTAGTAATATTAAAAGAGCAAACTTTGGGGGTGGGGAGGGAAATTTAGGGCCAGTTTCCTAAAAATACAGAGTTATCTGTTTTGCCAATTGCAGTTGGGAAGGCTTTCTTTATGTTGGATCATACCTCATCCACCCACCCATTCCCTTTCTTTACCAAAACACGTGAACAAGAAAATCCACACACCACCAACCATTAACATTTTGGCTAAAACAGCCCGTCTTAGTATTAGGACTTTTAAAAACTCATGTTGTTTTTGTTTTTTGTTTTTTGTTTTTTTAACAGTACAACCGGTACCAGCAATATGGTGCTGAAGAGTGTGTGCTACAGATGGGGGGAGTGCTGTGCCCTAGCCCTGGCTGCGGAGCAGGGCTGCTTCCTGAGCCGGGCATGAGGAAGGTCACTTGTGAAGGGGGCAGTGGTCTGGGCTGTGGGGTAAGTACTACCTACACCTCTGGGTGTTCATTGTTTGTGTGTTTCCTTTTAGCAAATTGGCAATGATGATATATTTGTTTTATTGTCACTTTCCCTTTGCACTCAGACACCTTCGAACTGATGTTTAACAAAACAGACCTTTAGGGGTGCCTGGCTGGCTCTGTCAGAAGAGTATGCGACTCTTGACCTCGCAGTTGTATGTCTGAGCCCCACATTGGGTGTAGAGATTACTTAAAAATAACATCCTTAAAAAAGAAAAGAAAATAGACTTTTAAATTCTGATATAGGATCCCAGATATGCACATATATATTCATTGATGGGGAGGAGAAGGTCCCACTAAGAGTTTCCGCTTTCATTGTCACCGTGTTTTCTCTAAGACATTGTGAATTACTAGGCCAGACTTTTAAACATTTTTTTTCCAGTGCTCAGCTAATTCAGAGAAAACATTTATTACTTTTTTAGAGTTGGCTTTAAGGAGACAGAGTAAAGGAGAAAAGGAATTTCCCATCAGTGATGTCTTAGCGGAATTGTTTGCCTAAGTATTTCAAGAAATAAAATGAAGATTAATATAGAAAACTTGAAATGTTATTGCGTCATAAAAATCATTTTGCATAGAGAGGAGCAAAACTAATGGTGCCTCTTAGGGAAGCAGAATAAGAAACATGGAAAATGTTTGTTCTACAAGGTCAACCAGTATGACCCAGATGGTTTCTTGAATGAATCTATGGCTGCAAGCTGACAGGGGAGGTGTGAGGGAAGCGTAACTCAAACACAAAAAGTCTTGCTAAATTATAGGTTGAAGTGACAAATGGCTAATAATCCTGATATTAGATTCCATGCAGGCCAGAAAAGGAAGAAAGTATATGTGCCTATAAAATGCTATTGAATTTTGATGGGAAAACATTTCTTTAAAAATTGCAACTTCATGAGGAGCTTGGTAGAAGGAGTGCTATTGGCAGAGGCTTATTGCTGGGGCCTAATTTTAGGCTGAGAGCTCTAAGTCACCTTTGCAGAGGTTGGTGTCTGTTGTCCTCAGTAAAGCCATCTGTGGGGTTGCAAAGCCCTGGGCTGAGCCATAAAGTAGAGGAAGTAGATATGGAAAAGCCATGAGATACTGTGATGCCTACTCAGAGAAGAATGCCTCTGGATTAATAATCATGATGGCATTAGAATGGGAACAAGTCACGTGTGCTACCTTTAGGAATCACAGAAGTCAATCTACACTTTCCAGTCAGATCTTCATCACGTACCATGTAATCTGCACCGATTATGTGTGGCCTGAGCCAGCTGCCAAATTCTGGGAGATCAGAATGCTGGGGAATGCTTTCTTTTAAAATGAGTTATAACAGTTTTTAACTAATGACTAAATTGTATGCTTCTGCCTGCTAATTGCCAACCGTTGTTCCATTCTCAAAAGTTGGATTTTAAGGTCTTAACTTTCTCTATGAGAAGAAGAGTTTCTTTGGCCCATCTTCTGCATTCCATTGTTTACCTTGCTTTAAAGAAGTTTGAGGGTTTTATGTAATTTTAAGTTTTGAACAGCTGTGTCTTCCTTTTTCTCATTCAATGTGATATTGTAAGTAAGTTACGTACACATTTAAGCTCCAAATCATGGAAAATTACTTTGGGAGTGAATTGAATTGCTTTCATACCTTAGGGTTGAAGAGTTTGGGGGCAAACCTTACCTAAATGAGGAGACCTGTCTTCCAGATGTTTTTTTGTCCTTTTGAAATTCAAAGTGATGGGTTTTATTTTATTTTTATTTATCTGGTGTTGTTGTTTTGGGGGGTAGGCTTGTCAGTTTGTATATCTCTATTACTGCATAACAAATCACCCCAAATTTTAACCATTTAGTCCATTAAACATTATCCCACAGAGTGGGCATCAGGAATCCATAAGTATCTTAACTGGGTAGCTCTGGCTCTGGCTTGGGGTCTCGTGACGCCACAGTCGAGCAGGGTTGCTTCAGTTATCTGAAGGCTTGACTGGGGCTGGAAGATCCATTTCCAAAACGGCTCATTTGTATGATCAAGCCAGATCTACAGCAGGGAATTATGTATCTAGGCGTCACTATTTTAGCCATTCAAAGAATTGCTTCTCCCACATAGTCCCTTGACAGACTGTCATTCATTTTCATTGTGGTCATTATACAGGAAATTTGATGCTTGCAGTTCAGAACATCCCAATGGACTTTTCTATGAGATAACATGGTAGCTCTTCCACGCTGACCTTTGCAATGGGAGCACTTATGCTCATTCTGAGGAATGTTGTCCTTGAGGGCACTGTAAATTGTGCAAGTAATAAAGTGTCCCTCTGAGACTGGTTAGTAACTGAGAGCCACATTTGTGTATTAGCCGTCGCATATAAGTGGACCATTATTACAACAGATTTGGAAGCTCTCTTTTCTTTTTTTTCTCTTTCCCTTTTTCTGATGTATATAGTTCTGCCATGATTTGTTCATTGTCGTAAGCTGCCAATCTTTTTTGGATTCAAGGGTGGTAATGGAAAGTCACCGTGTGGTAGAAATCATGATTAGTTCATGTTGTTCAGAGAGAACAGGACCCAATAAGTAGAAGTTCAAGAATGATGACTCTCTGCTTAATATTTGCCCTTACACCATGGACAACCAACAGTAAAATGGGCGGCCTCAGGAAGTAATAATCACCTCACCCTACACGGTATTCAAGGAAAGTCACTGACAACAAAGCTATGGAAGAATCATAGTCTCAGATGTGAAAACACTGTAGACCTTACTATCCCCGGTGCTTCCTAGGTTGTAGTTTACAGGTTTAAAGTAAGACATCTGTGAGTCTACCTGTGCTAATTTTTTCTCAACTACCAGCAGATTCAAAAAGCGCAACTCTTATTTTCTAGATAACCAAGAAATGCTTGATGTTATCAAACTAGGCCTTAGAAGTACATTGTAATGTGCCCATGGACACCCATTCTCAGAGCTGAGCCACAGCTGCATGTGTTGTCTTCCTGTCAGTCAGCTCACCGCGACACGCTTAGATGGTCCTTCATATACCCATGATTCCTGTTGTATGTGGTTTGCATCTAAAGAAACAGATTTCAGTATTTTGAATATCTTTGGCTTCTTAAAATAGGTGCTTTGGTTAGTATTTATGACTCTCTTATTCAAACATATAGTGCCTGCCGTCCATCAGAAAATCAGATTACCAGAGTCTTCACTCTCCTGTATCCCTACACTTAACTGTTACCTGGAGAGCAATGCACATTAGCTAATACATACGGACAAGGATTTCTATTTAAATGATAATAATGTCAGTCCATCTCAGAAAGGCCTGATAGATGTGTGATGGTTCCAGCAAATTTATTACCATTATAAAGAATTGTTTGAGCTTAAGGCCCATATACCAGGATTCAAGTTGAAGTGTTACACTTGTTTCATGCCTTTATGTTCCCATCCTTAATCTTGACATTATTGTCCTCAATAAATCCATGTATTTGGAGTTCAACATTCATTAAATGGATGGATGGATGGATGGATGGACGGACGGACGGATGAAAACTATGTAGAAGTAATATGAATATACTAGCACTTCTATTTTCAAATATTAATCATTATTTACCCTGGTATTAGAGTTGCTTGCAAGAACCTCATCAAGAAATTCACAATATACAGTGTTTTACTTGCACACAAAATACATAATTCAGAACAAAATAGACTAAGTTCAGGGATCCACAAAAAAGTCAATTAGGAACCAGGAAGTACTTCAAGAATCACAGTTTATGTACCCTGTCAAAGGCTATGCAGCCAAACTAGAATTTTGTACGTCCTGATATATAAAATATCTTAGTCTTAGGGGCACTGAGATTTCAGTTTTGACACAGCACAGAATATTTTTACATTGATTGATGGAACTCAACAAAAAATATATTTGGGGATCAAATAGGCTGACCTCACTCTCTGCTAACCCTTGATCATATTTTTACTACTGCTTATAAAAATATTAATTGATTTCATAAGGAATTCATGTTATGCATTATTCTTTACTCTGGCTTATTGCTATTCATCAGAACTATCTCACTAACTTTTATGACTCCAATGTAAAATGTTGACATGTTTAATACTGGAAAACAGCAACAAAATATGGAATACATTAATACTCACTGACCTGGGAATACAGAAAGCTAAGGCAATCAAACCTTGTGAGTTTTCCATAAATAAAACATCATTATCTTATTTGGGGTTGTTTTGGGATATTATATGTCTGAGAGAGAATTTCTTATCTAGGATAATACTAGGAATTAGATGAGTTTTCTGTTTTAAATTAGAAATCCAGGGATAAGATGACAACTGGGGAAAAAAAGATTTTAAAAAGATCATATTACTGACCATTTGTTAAGGAAATAAGATAGAATTTCTTCAGGCGCCTGGTAGGCACTCCTTCCTTTAAGAGAGAGAGCCGTGTTGCTGAGGCAGATCTCTCAATGTGCGAATGAAGCATTCATCTTGGGCTCCCTTCTGGCACAGACCTCTTGTTTTTACCTAGTTGTCTTTGTGCATTTTCCTTGAAGAGGGCCTCAAGGATTGTAGGACTTAAAGATGGAAGGGCTCCATCAAATCAAAATCTGGATCTGTGCAAGTGTGGGGTCCGAGCTGGTATGTGCAAAGAAATTTTTGTTGAAAGTAGTGATTTTGAACTATTCTCTGACAGTAGTGGATTTTACTTAGGTCAGGGTTCAAGCCTCATTTTCAGTTCTTACATAGGAAAGGAGTGAATGAAAGTAAATGGAGATAACTAGTCTTCCACTCAAAGATCAGATGTTGAGTTAAAAAACCTAAGTTAATTTCTTCTCATATAGTTGCTGATAATAATTTCTAATAATTGTTTCTATTTCCATGGTGTTAGTCGTGATCTCTCCCCTTTCATTCATGATTTTATTAATTTGGGTCCTTTCTCTTCTCTTTTGGATGAGTCTGGTCAGAGGTTTATCGATCTTACTAATCCTTTCAGAGAACCAGCTTCTAGTT